CATACGAGTCAAACAAAATGCTTAGGTTGGATATGACTGGAAAACAGTCCGGCGACAATCCCTGGATGGCTTGTGAAAAACTAAAGAGTGGTGAATATCACGTCGTGAAATCATGAGTGGGTTGATTATTCAAGGCTGCTTAGGTGTTGGTTTCACATGAATGCGAGAGCGCAATTCCAAAATTCAGGTAGCGACATAAAGTCTTGGCCAAACTATACACCCGACAAATATGAATAACTCGATACTGTTTTAACGTCTCTGTGATGTTTGATGAACGGAAAAGAAAGGCACACTGTGATCACAGTGATGGCGGCAGAGAATAACCATAACACTATGCACACCACACGCATTTGGAAGTAAGGCGATGCCGAAAAAGCCGGTCTCATTTGTTGGTGCGGGAACCAACCAACTTAATTTAGTCAAAACCCACGTCCCGGGGCAAGTGTACGGGTACTGAGATTTTACTACCATCGTGGAGGTGCTCTGGCCGTAATCGATTTCCGTGTAAATCACAGCGATGGTGGATAATTTCCTCCTTTGTGTTTCAGGAGATTCCATTTTTTAGCCGTTTTGATGAGCTTCTTACCCCGTTGGTTGTATCGAAAGTAGGCCGTGAAAGGGCCGATAATATTTTGCTAGGCTATCCGTCTTCTGACAAAATTAACAGCTTTGGTGGCCTTACTCGATCAGTGTCAGAATGTACAATTTAATAATGCAAATAATCGTGACGACGAGAAACGGCCGTGAAAGGGCCGATAATATTTTGCTAGGCTATCCGTCTTCTGACAAAATTAACAGCTTTGGTGGCCTTACTCGATCAGTGTCAGAATGTACAATTTAATAATGCAAATAATGGTGACGTACGAGAAACTGAAAAAAAAACTTACAAAACAGGCCAGTGGACCTATTAGTGGATCCCTCTTGTTTTCAGGGCATTGTGTAGAAAATTTTTACTCTCTTTGGCCGAATTCTCAGTCGTGTCGTAGAAATAGCCTCCGCGCACAAAAAATTTCTTGTGGTTTCACACAGTGCCATCTTTATTCATACAGTCTAGTGCTACTTGAGCCGTTGGACAGATTCATACCTTCCACAATGTATCATTTGTTGGGCTGGTGACGTTGATATTTTGCCCGAACGCTCTAGGACATCCAAAATATCAAATTTGGGTGGTATGGACAGTCGACACAGATGCTTTTGCTTTTGGTTATAAAACTTCGCACCCACGTTCACCCCTTTAATCTATGTACCTAATGAAGCTTTAAAGAACAATATGTTCTAGCCTGCTTCGCTATTTTTGCGCGAATTTTTATCTAACGCAAACGGAGTGTAAAATTTGTGGCATCATTGGACATTATCTTAACATAGCGGGGTTTCATGAATCCATTGAGTCACCCACTAGTCATACATTTTATAGATCTCATACCTCTTGGCGTCTTAGGTAATCTAATAGAGGGCGCGACACGGTCACAGTTTGCAGCGCTCGTTCTGTGGCCACAGAGAGGCAACTACTTCTAAAGCTTGTCATCTGTAGGTTACATATATATGCTCTGTTAAGGCCAACATCAGGCCGACACAACCAATCGTCGCCAACAGTTGCACCTCGGCGCATGTAGAGAGCAACATTACTTTGAAGTTAATTTACCCTCCCAACTGTCCCGACACTATTAACGAATAGTATGATAATATTTCGAAAAAGACGTACTTAATAGCTGATTGCTGACCTCTTTACTTGGCATGAGCCTATCCATAACTAAAACCTACAGTTTTGCCAATGCCCCAACTACATTACTCTTCCACTGCTTCACACATCTTTGTTCCTTATCAGTGACCAACTTCACTGTCATCAGAAGGTGTCAGAGTGCTGTCCACCTCCGTTGGTGTGGCATCACATTCCTCACTGAAACATTGTTGGAACGATATATTGAGGCTCGTCCAGATTTACACACGTAATATGCACGTGACAGGCACATTGACTGACTAAACTAGCACTGGCGTGTTCCAGTGCGTGGATGCACCTAGGGCGTCCCTCAGTTATCATACGCGGAAAAAAATCAAGTTTAGTGCAAACATATAATGCATTCTATCAAATTATCTGTCTCTAAGTCTGTAAGATGGCGCTTCGGATATCGGATCAATTTGACAACGATGCACCTTTGCAAACTAAGCTTACGTATCTTCCAACATTTTTGAATTCAAGCAGTTAACTGACGCCAGCGGCTAGAGACACAATGCGTTTTTCTGTAAAACCCCTGTGGGCGAAATAAAAATTTTAACGTCAAAATGTTGCACTTCTTTGCATATATGTGTGGACTGAAAACCACCCTCATCTGCCGTCACTTTTTTGCGATTTGTTTGATTCGATTTCTTTCGAAGATTACTGGCGCACATTCGGCTTTGAACTTCGTCTGCTATGGCTTCGGAAGTGACTTTCGTTGAGAAATTTGTGGGTGTATCGTTTTCATCCTTCACGACATTTGAGAAGACCTTAAATGGATGCATGAAGGATAACTTTGTGATATTTGTGCGTTCATCCAGTAATCGAAGCACCACCACTATTTTGCGTTACGAATGGGCGTACTACAAATGCAGCGGGCACCCTCGAAGATCGTTCAGCTGTCTGGTATTTTCGACGTAGGCTCTATGTGGCTGGTTAGTTAGGCATCGCGTACCCCTGGCCGCATGTTAGTGGTGTGCGTCGTTTAAGATCGATGAACCTCGAGGTCTTTCTAGCATAATTCGGAACCTATAATGAGGAACCCTGTAATTTGGCGGTGAACGTGCACGATGTTTAGCAAATAATTAGCGTGCACTACGTAATGTTTACTGTCAACAAAGAATCATCGACCAAAATTTGTTTGCACGAAAGCGCCCACGCATATGTTGAATCTCCAAAGGCATTTAGATTCTAGAATGTTGAGGAAATCTGTTCCGGTGGAAAAATACCTGAAAGGTACGTTCATTGTATGTGAGTCAACCTTTTCCACAATTCGCGATTTTTTATCATCAGGTAACGTATTCAAAGTCGGCGGGGTTTGTTCACCTGGAGATTTAGTTCACTTAAACAAATCGTCATAGCAATGGAATTTCAATAATACAGGAGCATATATATTATACAGAGACATTCTACACTATGAAACGGCAAGTCTGAAAATGCGTAGATTTCGAGAACTCAATCTCATTGTGCGAATAGCCAGCGGCTTAACTGACCCACGCGGGGAAAATTTTCCCACAGATCTGCGTTTTCAGTGTGAACCTTGTATTTCCGAAATTAACCTCATGGGCGTGGGGTACCGGACGGCATCCTACCTTCATTGGTACTGGAACTGAAAGCAAGCTTTGTCCACTTTGCGTAGCATACCCAGACGGTTTTCGAAACAGATTTTCAACACAGAACAAACGATATCAGTCAGAACAATAACCATCGTGTAATGTAACACTTGTCATCCGCAGGACGACTCGATCTAACGAAGGAGTGTCATAAAGTTAATAAACTTAAGTATCACTAAATTGCTCTAAAATTATGAAGTAACTGCAAAGAATAATGCAACTGGAAGCTGTTTTCTATAATAGAAATCGCATGTGCTGAGGTTACCGGACGACTCATTGTTTCGGTCGTAAAATATGAGACTTTCATGACCCGTTCCACCCATAGCAAAAAACGACATAGTTTGTGGAAAAATTATTTAGATCTATTTGAATTGGATGGGCGCTCAAATCTACTAGTTCCCACTGTTGCGCATACATTATCAACATGAATGAGTCGTTTAAGTATGTTCCTCACTGTGGGATAGCAAACCGCGCTTTTGAAAACACCATTCAAGTATTGCACATTTAACCACACGGATACATGTACAGTGAATAGTTTCCTTTTAGAATAATGACAAGTTAGGAGAATGTAACTGGCTGGTGCAGCCCCGAAAAATTAATGTAAACCCCTATCCCCTCTGTGTATGTTGCGAAATCCGTCACACACAAAACACTCCTCCCTCGCCACTGATTTTAGTTAAGCAAATTTTCCCCGTCATCGGGAAATTGCCTGAGACAGAATACGTGCACAAGAATCGAGCTCATTCTTTTTTAACTTGAACGGAGCACTCCGATACCAGCGCAGGGGAACGCCTGTAGCGGACAAGGACCTAAGTATGCGTGGTCAATCAAAATATCAGATTAGAAATAACAAATGGCAATAAGAAATGGACAAGTGAATGGAACAGGCTCACTAAATTGGGGGTCCAATAATCCCACTACACGAAATGTTGTGCAGCAATCCTATTCGGCGGCGAAGAATATATCCAGAGTAAGAAGGATATTCTCCACTGATAGTTCGTGTGTTAGAAGTCAATTATACTGTAGGAAGTTATCACAGCTGAAAATTGTCACAAGGAGTTATTGTGACGTTCAACAGTTCACACACAAACACAATAATCCAATCCCACGACTTCAGCAAACAGCAATCAGTCCAATTGGATGCAATTTCACTGACTCAGCAAAAAGCAGGGATGTCGCGCCAAGATGTGTATTTCCACCATTTTCGACTTTAATGTAATTATTGGCACAATAAAACAAAATGTCATGATACGTGTACAGTGTTTACAAATTGCAATTCAAGTTTATATGAAGAGAGTAGAAAATGGGGAAAATGTAACATTGATTTGCAAAGCACCACACGCCAGGGTCCACACGCAGATGGACCCATTCACTGATTCACTGCATTCAGAAGAATACTAGAAAACGGAGGAAAAGCACGGGGTTGAAACTCGCCGGGATTTACTGAGTCTCATGGATGTACAGGAGGTGCAGTAAAAACGTGGAACCTTGTCTCTGCAATGAATACGCCCAATGATAGTAGCTAGTTCCAATAAACGAGGCCAAGAAACTCATGTCTTGTTCCACCCCGAATCCAAGCTTTCAGTGATGAATGTTAATAGTACACTGCAGTATTTGTTGAGCTCAGTGTGCTATTCATATTTTATAGTGTCTCCAGTCTGGTGGGGCATAGTGTTTTAATTCACTTCTGAGCCAGCGCCAACTACAGTTTTCGTCGATGGCCTTCATCCACGGTCCCAAGGTAGCCGAGTCGGTCGCCCTATGCCGGTCCATCCCACACTCTCTTGATAAGATTTCTTATCTGAACGTGGTTCCAAGAAAGAAACTACCGTTACACACGCCCTCGCGTCACCCCTTTAAGTATAGAGTTGAATTACCCACATCAACGAGTCCTTACGCCTGCTGTGGATTGGGAGGTATGTATACCTAATGTGAACCTGATTGAACATTCAGTTCCACTGCAAGTCCGATATGTGCATACGGATGTTACAAAAGTACCGGACTTCACTAGATATCGGGCAGATTCAACGAAAAGTCCTACGGCTCGTACCGTGGACAGTGAAGTACAAAGGAAAATCTTCAGTTATACAATGATGTTTGGTGAGTATCGTACGCTCCTGGGATGTTAGCTTTTCGCCTGTATCCATATATAACATTCTTGCACCGATCAAATCCAAATGTGGCACCAAACTTTCAGCGTTTGCAAGGAGGTCTTTTATGACTAGCGGACAGTTTGCGTTCCTCCGAAACACTTGTAGGTCTTTACTGTGTATGAAAATAAAGTAAGAGCTATAGAGTAGGGACTTTCGGAGTGGCTTATGTTGGGGTCTTTCAGTTTCAGCTAGGTAAGAGCAGGGAGCTTGTATCGTCTGTTACGTGTGGAGTGTATGACATCCCAGCAACTACTCCATCTGGGTAGACTTGGAAGACTGTGAACCCATCTCATACGCCTTCGATCTGACTGATTCTAAACCTCTGGTGCATGCTTCAAGCGCGTCGTAAAAAACGTTAGTTAAGGTTTGGAGAGGCCTGAGACGAGTAAGCTCGCCTAGGATAAGCATAAAAGGATGCATATTTTTGGTCCCACGATTCATAGCCATTCATGCAGACGTCTGTTTAAACATTCAGAATGTAGTGACCTTAGTAGCAATTTTGGGGGGTTTTCGCCAACAGAGTACCTAATGGCGACTGAATTTTTCTAGCATATAAATCTAATTTGCCGGTCAGGGAAATGACTCCTTGGATTTGTACACATACTTGGGACGTCGATGTGGCAATGTTTAGTGGCCTTGGTGTTTGGTACGGTGAGATTTCACCGTTCTTTCCTGCATGCCATCGAACCAGCCTCATGAAAATAACCGCGGCAACGTAAAGCAAGCGCAAACTCGTTGCCCACTGGTTATGTGCAATACCCATGCATGGCCTGAATGAGTGATGCATAGTAGAGCAGTCGTCTTATCTCAGGCACCAATAAACGTGACCCTGATTCACTCCTTGGGTCCTTCAAAGTGTTTTGAAAGTAGTGTACAGTAATTGAAGATCACAATCAGTAAATTGTTCTGCAAGTACATGCGAACAGAATGTACGGAAAACATTTGTGGTGTCCGTTAACTCGTGCTTATCTCGGATAGTATTGGTGGAAGTCCATCGTTACTTCTAGTCTGTCAACATTGTCTGTCTGTTTGGATTTCAAATCCTGAATCATATCCTCCACCACGCCACAATTTGCATTCGTATGCTCCTCTGACATAACGATCCTAGTTCTTACTATGTAAGGTATGGTGTTACTCCTCCAACGTAGAGCACACCAACTAAAGCACCTTGTGGTGATTGAGGTTCAGAGCTGCAATGGTTTTTCGGATATTATTGGTTGGAACAGTTTCTGGATTTTAAACCGTGCCAGGAAGATGAACGGTAAGGATCCCGACACGGAGCAGCGGATGCTTGCACTGTGAGGAATCGTTTTGGTGCTACCTGAATTTGAAGTCGTACCGTCCTCTGCGATAAGAGTGTGAAGGCAGTAAGGCGTTTCCTTCGGGCGTACAGCATATACATAGTCATGGAAGCGGCAGTGATGCTTCAGTGTGCAGATGAGGCAGTCGACATGGTGAATGAACTATTTTACCTGAGCAGTTGTTTGATTTCCGTTGGACATGCTAGAAATGAGGTACTTCTCGTATCTGGGAGACCAGGGCAGCTTTTAACAAACTCTGCGCCTATGACGCCGACGTGACGTCATTTTTTCTGTCAAAGGCAGAGTATATGCCGAGGCAGTGCGATGCATATGGTTGAGAAAACTAGCCTCTCAGCACAGATGACGTACGAAAGCTGTCAATATTTGCCCGTCGGTGTCTTCCAGCATTCGCCGAATCTGGAAGGAATATCGAACAGTAATGGCGAGGTACATCAGATGCTTTCACGAGGACAGGAGCTGTCCCACGATTGATCAGTTACTTATGACTCATGCGCGTGGTTAGGACCTTTACCTAGCATGCCACGGTACCGTCCGCCCAGTCCTGTCTGAACGTTTATCCGGTGGTAAGAGAACCTGAAATCGCCTTGTAAGCTCTTTGGCAGTGTCTGAGCTATCATCCATATAATAGACAGAAAGCACCGCAGGCGATAGCTGTGCCCTGTTTCAACTGATTCGATCAACCTGTCCAAAGAAGGCAAATTTCAGTGAAACAACATGAGAAAAGGACGAAACAGCAGTCCATCCTCAATCGTCTTCTTGAGCGGTGGGCTGTTCACTTCAAAGAGTTCAGCTGGTCTCCTTCAACACAACCGCCGAAACAACCAAGTTAGTCCGATTGGGCGAGACGGCTCAGTGATAACGGCGCAAATGTGCTGATCAGAAGGTTCGTAGTTCGAACTTGACCTCTGCCTCTCGATTTCCCCTGTCTAGGCTTGTGCAACCTGGCAGTATCCCAGCCCTCGTGCTTCCTTCTGCTGGCATGACAGGTAAGCACCGAAAGTGTGCTACAGCTGAATAATTTGATTGTGAATGGTTTTTTTCAACGATTGCAACATTGACACCAGCCCACCGTCAGCAACCGAAATTCAGCGTGAGGTATCAATACTGAAGTGCGATAAGGCACCTGGTCCGGATGATCTGCACCCCGTGCTCTTCAAAGAAGGTGGCGAGGTCCCGGTGAACAGTCTGATAACCATATACGGGAGTTACGGCAATGGAGCATCGGTGTTGAACACTGATGTCATGCGGTCGATGATGATGATGATGAGGGAGTGAAGCATCAGTGTCAACACCGATGTTGCTGTCTTAGGTAATGATGACTGACAACTCTACTACAGAAGATTTGGAACCAAAACCGAATATTGGTCGAATAGAGCTCCTCGACCGTCGTCCCAGTTTTCAAAAAGAGCGCAAGAACGTCATATATAAACGTCGTAGTGACGGTCTGCTATACGTCGCATCTAAGGTGTTCTCTGGCATTACTTGGCACAGGTTGATGGTTTATCGTAAGAGACAGATTCGTGAGAATCTGCGTTTCGACCTGGTCGAGAATGGATCGACCATATCTTTACCTTGAGACAAATTCCTGGATAGTGGCACTCTTTTCAAATGTTCGCTTTTCTTGATTTGAAAGCTATCTTCAATTCTGTCGATCCTCAGAAACTTTGGCAGTGTCTTGCGATCAAATCTATATCCCTAATGAGGACACTACAAACTCGTCTAGGCGCGTACCAGAATACGGGAAGCCTTCGTCTGAGCTCACCACGACCAGTGGTGTAAGACATGGCTGTCCTCTGTCATCTTTTCCTGTCAACTTTGTCACTGATATGCTGTTTGAAATTTCTCTGCTTACCTCTGAAACCTCGGGAGTCGAAACGATCTCGTGACGTTCGCTTACAGATATTGAGTATGCGGACGGTAGTGTGGTATTTTACTCAGATCCTTCTCAAATATAGCAGATTTTAAATAACCTAAATGACTGCCGCACGGTTTGGCATTAACTCCACGCCTGCAAAGTGTAAGGTGCTTGTACAAGACTGGGTGGGATGAAACCCACACCTGATGCTTGCAGGCGAGATAAATTTGTTTACCTGGGGAGCTGTATAAGTTCCAGAGTCAGGAGGCCAGGGTAGCTTTTGCCACCCTACAACGCTAATGACGCAGACGTGACGTAAGTTTGTCTGTCAAGTGAAGAGTTTACACCGCACTACCATCCACACTGCTTTGTGGATCAGAAACGTGGCCCCTACGCATAGAGGACATACGAACTATCGTCATCATCGACAGCATGACATCAATATTCAACACCGATGCTTCGCTACTGCACAACCATGATTTATTTGAGGGCCTTATTGGGTAGAAAAGAATGAAGGTGGACTGGGAAGGCACCTACTGCTAGCTTACTACAATCATTCCGAGGTGCCTACACCTCCGCTCATCCAAGCAATCTGGATAGAAACTGTCAACAAGATCGCCACTGCCATCGCATAGCAGCCATATCTTTCAGCGTCTTCAACCAGGCCTAGTGAGAATCACGCGGTCCCCATCCTGGAAGGCTGTTATGTCCTCTTTGATGTTGTACCAGTCAGACAAGTTAGATCACCAGAATGGAGAAGACAAACAACTTCGAGGAAGTTATACTGCAAACAAGTGGATCGTTCCGTGATATGGAATTCAACTGGACCAGGATATAAAGAAAGCTAACAGTCCAATAGGATGTCAGTGAGAGGCTGAAATGTAGAAACAAGGTTTTAGTATACAAGACAAATCGTTAGTTAAATGGATTTGTTCGTTTGGAGGTAATCCTCCTAACAAAGGCGAGCAACACCGACAGAACCCGAACGTTCCGTGATTTCTTTCTGCTAGTTCACCTAGCAACCTCTGACCACCTCTATGCTTCCACCACTCTGACTTGAGCATAGAAAACAGCGCTGTCTTCGGCAAACGGTGGTTCGACATGCGCAACACATGTCCAACGCCTCTTCTGGTACTGGACACATTCTTCAGTGGAAGTACTCGTTACACAACCGAAGACTCTCTAATTACCTAGTTACGGATACGCCGACACCAACCCACACGAGCTATGGTTCTGGGACAACGATTGTCGAACACCTGATGACGTCTCAGTTACGCTGCTCGAACTGGCTAAGTCTCAGCTATACAACAAAACAGTCCGCACTGACGTAGTAGGTGTATCAGATTAGCAAACGCTACCCGAACCTTGCAGGTTAGTGCGTTGACATCATCAGTCACACTACAATCAGAACCAATACAACTTTTTAGATACGGAAAACGCTTCACAACCTCCAAAGTCTCTCCCCGGATTGTTAGTGGCGTGTTCAGTGACTGCATGTCCAGGAGCATGACGCCTACTATGTGGGTGTCATGTGAATTCCGAAAGACGGGACGACCTTGGTCAGTTCATCCAAAAACACTTGCGCCTTCTCCTCTCCGAAGATAAGAACGACGTCGTCTGCATATTCCAGATCGACAGGGTTTTTGTCACAGGCTATCTGGACACCGGTGTCTGTCAGCATCTTTTTGCAGTAGCATGGTATACAAGTTGACTTTCCGAATCTCAATCCGAGACACATTTGTACGCATTCACAACAGACATAAACTAGTG